TAGTGTCTAGAATGTATAAAGAATTCAAAAAACTAAACACCAAGCTATGGCGGGCTGGAGAGATGGTCTGGTGGTTCAGAGCATGCACTGCTCTTGCAGAAGACCTGAATTAGTTCCAGGTACCCACGCTGGGTAGTTTACAACTACCTGTGATTCCACCTCCAGGGATATGCCCTCTCCTGGCTCCCATACATAGTGAATGTCTTCTGCACTTACTTCTGCATAGACACATACATATAAACGTAATTGAAAATAAATCTCATTTTAAAGTGGGCTATGGAACTGAACATGGAGTTCTAGAAGAAGAAATACAAATGGCTAAGAAATTCTTTGGGGTTTTATTCTTTTAATGTGTGTGAGTGTTTTGTCTGCATGTATGTAAGTATACCATGGGTCTCACTATGTAGCTCTGGCTAGCCTGGAACTCTGTACATAGTTCAGGCTAGGCTTGGGCTCACAGACATCTGCCTGCTTCTGCATCCCGAGTTCTAGGATTAAAGGGATACACCTGGCTAAAAAAAAAAAATACTTTTTTAAATGTTTACCGCCTTGGCCATCAGGGTAATGCAAATCCAAACTACTCTGAGATTTCATCTTACACCAGTCAGAATGGCTAAGATTAAGAAAACAAGATGACAAACGCTGGTGAGGTTATGGGTAGTGGGAAACCCTCGTCCCCTTGGTGGGAGTGCAAACTGGTACAACCACTATGAAAATCGATGTGTGATTCCTTAGAAAACTAGAAACAGATGACCACGTGCCCCAGCTATACCACTCCTGGGCATGTACCCAAAGGACTTTTATTTCCTATTACAGAGACACATGCATGTTCATCGCTGCCCTAGTCACAACTGTGACACATGGAACCATCCTATATATCTATCAATGAATCATGAAAATATGATGCCTGTGCTTAGAATTTTATTCAACTGTAAAGAAAAATGAAAAAAAAATTTTTTTGGTCTTTTTGAGACAAGGTCTCCCTGTAGCCCCAGCTACATAGTGATCTGGAACTCACTATGTAGACCAGGCTGGCCTTGAACTCACAGAGATCTGCCTGCCTCTGCATCCCAAGTGCTGGGACTAAAGGTGTGAGCCACCACGCCCAGTGAGAAAAAAATGAAATTATGAAGTTCACAGGTAAATAGATGGAACTGGATGGAATACACTGAGTGAGATAATCCAGACCCAGAGAGACCAGACATCACATGTTCCCACTCATAGTGGGCCCTAGTGCCCAATCTTTAGGTTTGTTTAACTTGGAGTACCCGGAAGTCAAAAAACTAGAAGGGGACATTGGTGGAGAGAGGGAAGAAGATCTTAAGGGAGGGGGATAGTAGACAGCTGGTATGAAGGGAAAAGGAATAATGCAGAAGGAGGCTTAAGTGGGGAAGAGATTGGGAAGGTAGGACGGAGGAGGGGTAGAGGGAGGAATAGCTAATACTAAGGACGTTTGAAAACCCATATGAGGGGCTGGAAAGATGGCTCAGTGGTTAAGAGCACTGAGTGCACTTGCAGAAGACCCAGGTTCGATTCCCAGCACCCACATGGCAGCTGATAACTGCCTATGACTCCAGTTCCAGGGGATCCAATGCCCTCTTCTGACCTCTGCAGGCATTGCACAACACCAGGGCAACTTACATACATGCAGGCAATATACTCATATACATAAAATAAAAATAACAAATAAAATATGAAAAAATCCATATGAAAACCTACTTTATAAGTTATATATCCATATAAAAGGATTTAATTGGAGTTTCCCTACACAGGGGAACTGTTCCTCCCAGAAGCCACAGGTTGCCAAATAAAAAGCCCAGGGCCAGGTGTAGAGTTGTTGGTCAGTGATGTCCTGGAGACCTCCAGAATAATACTGGCTATCACTTTGCTCTTGGTTGCCCACCAGAGCTTGATGGTAATGCCCTACACTGAAGACACCACAGGACATGGAGAGATCAAGTTGGTACTGATCAACAAGTTTCCTTCCTTTGGTAGCCTTCATAGTACTGGATGGTACTACGTAGGCTGCTGGGGAAGAAAAAAGTCATCAACAGTCTTACCAAACTGTGAACCTATGAGCTACAACAACAACCAGCCTGGCAAGATGTGCCCACCTGTATAGTATAATGTGGCACGAATGTTATCGGGGTAACCAACCTCTTTCTGATTATATTTAAGATGCACTCCACAGGAGTAAACTTGTGCCTACTACTATAAACCTGGCCAAGAACCTATGGTTTGGGGGCTTATAGTTCCCAGGGGTGAACCTATTACTATTATTTTGCTATATCAAACTGCCCTCTAAATACACATTTTCTATATCCATAGATTAGTGCAGCTCTCAGACCTCATCAAAGAGTTTCTTTATGCAGTAGACAGGGGTTAAAGCAGAAACTCATAACTGGTCAGAGTGCAGAGAATAAGTGACTATGGAGTGCTCAGCCACAAATGGGATGTCTGTATCAAACCCCTCCCCAAAGCTCAGGGACCATCATGGAAGAGGGGGTGGAAAGATTGTAAGAGCCAGAGGTTGGGGAGAACTAGAGTAAAACCTTGTCTTCTGGACACAACAGGATAGCTGCACTCATAAACCCAGAGCAGCTGTGGTTGCCTTCCCAAGACCTGCACAAGATCAAGCCAGTCAACATTCTCTAGCAGGAAGCTTTTTGAGAAAGAATAAACATACCATTGTCCCATCGTGAAGAGTCACTATAATCTGGCCTGTCAGTCAGCACCTAGACAGAATGAAGTCCCTCAGGAAAGGCTGCTTGTTCTAGAGATTTCAGCAATTATTTAAAGCCTGCTTAGAATGGCACAATGTCCTTTTAGCTACTGGCCACTCTCACTTCTTAGGAGTATGCTATTCTCACAGGGTGTGGTGGTACGCACCTTTAATCCCAGCACTGGGGAGGCAGAGGCAGGTGGATCTCTATGACTCTGAAGCCAGTCTGGTTTATATATTGAGTTCCAGGTCAGTCAGCAATACATAGTGAGTTCTTGTCTCAAGAGAGAGAATGAGAGGGAGAAGGAAAGGTAGAGGAAGAGAGAGAGAGAGGAAGAGGGAGAGGGAGAGGGAGGAGAAGGAGATGGAGAGGGAGGAGAGGGAGGAGAGGGAGGGAGGGAGGGAGGGAGAGAGAGAGAGAATGAATTTGTAGGCCAATGTTGACATTTGTTGTTCCTGGCTGTCCATTCAGCCATTAGCACAGTTCTGATAGCCCTTTCTCTCAGATGATAAATGCCATCTGGCGTAAATTGCTTTTAGCAGAAATGTGGAAGAATTTTGGAACTGACAGCACTTGGAACACTCAAAAGACCCCCACAACTTTCATCATAATCCACATAGCAAGAAACAGCCTGCTAGTGAATATGCCAGGAACTCGCCAAAGCTGGAAAATTTCGGCAGCATGTTTACACAGCACACAGGAGCTGAGCTCACTGAGATCAGCGAACATCACACTAACACAGGACTAGTTTCTTGGTGTTTCTAATACAAAACAATGGAACATAGTACCACTTTTTTTTAAATTTTCTATTAATTTATTTTATGTGTTTGAATGTTTTGCCTGCGTGTACCACATATATGCATTGCCTGTGCAGGCCAGACAAGGGTGTTGGAGCCCCTGGAACTTGAGTTACAGACAGCTGTTAGCTACTATGTGGGTGCTGGGAACCAAACCCAGGTGTCCTGCAAAAGCAGCCAGTGATCTTAGCCACTGAGCCAGCTCTCCAGCCCCTCTCACTCTTTATATATACATTTCTACTTTGCCTTTCAGTTGCTGTGATAGAACATTTTGAAGGGGAGGAAAGGGTTTATTTGGCTTACACTTCCAGGTCACAATGTGTCATTGAGGGATGTAAGGGCAGGAGATCAAGCAGGAACCTGGAGGCAGGAACTGAAGCAGAGACCTCAGAGGAAGCTGTTTTCTGGCTTGCCTCCTCCCCCACCCCCCAGCTTGCTCAGCTATCTTGGTTATATAGCCCAGGCCCACCTGTCTAGGAATGGCACTGCCCACAGTAGGCTGGGTCCTCCTACATCAATTAGCAATGAAGAAAATGCCTCACAGTCCACAGGCCAATCTGATGAAGGAAATTCTTCTTGAGGTTCCCTCTTCCCAGGGGACATATATCACATATATACACATATATGTGGTGGCAGGGCTGCTGGGAATTGCATCCTGAGGCTGGGAAGGCTGGGCAACACTTTACCATTAAACTACACTTCCAGCCTGTCACTCATTCTTTTTATTTTGGGGGCGTAGGGGTTGAGACAGGATCTCCATGTAGCCACAGCTGGCCTGGAATTCACCATGTAGACCAGGTTGGGCTAGATCTTACAATCTCACAGATCTCACTCAAAATCTCACCTGCTTCTGCCTGCCAAGTGCTGGGATTAAAGGCATGTAGTTGAGGCTGACCTTGAACTTCGGATCCTACCTCTACCTCCAGAGTGTTGGGGTTACAGTTGTGCACCACAAAGCCCTTTTTTTTTCTCTCTCTCTCTCTCTACTGAGGTATCAGAACTAGCCAAGAACTCTACAAACTGAGCCGCGTGCAAGCCACAAAACCACTACTTCCCAAAAAGGAAGATCATTCCTTCTGTGACTTTAAGCACATGAGTAAAATTGTTGGGCAAAATAAGGTCAAAGAAACACGTTCTAAATGTGTGCCCAAGAGATAATTTTGATATGTTCCACATAATGATGTCAAATACATATCCATTTCCGGAAGGCGACCTGGAAGGGAAGCGAGCCTGAGCGAGAGATCTTTACTTTGTCTATGTGCTCGTCATACATTTTATCTCGTCGATGCACAACGTTGATCAAAATTATTCAGTTCGTCAATCCTGCAGCTCCGCGATCTAGAGGCTGCCCCCCACCCTCCCCCCCCCTACCTC